ATCCTACTTCATAGCTGTAAATAAGCGAAAATCATAAAAAAGAAACAGAAAAGTTTTAAGCTGAATGCTTTTCCACTTCTTATTGGAATTGGTGGAACAAGAAATTGAAAGGTTACACATTAGGTTGTTAGGGGTTATGGTTGTAGATATGAAATTATTGCGAAGGTATAATCATGGCCGGCGCTAGACATTTTGCCGCCTGGTGCTATTTCTGTGGATAGTTAATTCTTTTGCAGGATATTTCCCTAAATTCTAAAAATGTTGCCTGCAGAACAATTGTACCGTTTCTAAAATGTTTTTAAGTCCTCAAATCTTACAAACTCTTGCGTTTTGATTTTTTTACCTTTCCTTTGAAAAAGAAGTTTAGCACAAACATCTGCATATTTCATCTTTGTACACATGCATTTATGATACATTAAAATGCATATGTAAATTAAGGGTGCAAACTATTGAAATGCCTTCTAGATAGATCAGATATTAATTTTATTTTATCTCTCTTTTTTAGAGTTATCTGGATATAAATTTGGCCTTAAAATAATTCAGCCTTCTTTATTTATTTACTAATGAACACACTGGTAGCCAAGAAGGTTACATACACTATTGGTTTCAGTTTATTGTCCCAGGTTTGGTTTAGTTGATTATGGCAAAGCACACTGGGGCTATCTGCCTAAGAGGAAAGATACCTTCGCGGAGGACTTTCTAAGGGAAACTGGCTCGTATACACGATATATATGTGGAAAACCATGAAAATACAACTCGGAGCCAACTCGTTCGCCTAGAATCGAACTCATGTTAGAATGACCAGTGTTCAGCAATTTTACCGCTCAGCCGCTGCTGGGCTGGCCCAGGTTCGACCGAATGGACTCTTAAATACTATATACTTTTATGCATGAAATTTTTTTCATAGGAACTCCTCTATGAAAGCATTCCTCTTAAGCTAGAAAGCGTCGAGATCTGTGCTGTAATAATTAACATAGTACAGTTAATACATTTGATTAACTTTCGTATTTTTCTTTTCATTATGTTTATACTTAAAGACATAAAAAGTTCTTAATTCTTTTGCTTTTAATTAATCAAAGAATGGCTTTTCTGTTCACAATTCGAATTGAGGCAAAAATATTTGCAATGGTATTGAAGTAATAATTTAGTTGCTGACTTTCTGAATATCAAATGGAGATTGGTTTACAGGAAGAAATATTTAGGTTTAAACAATGGAACGAATCCATGGATTCTCGTTCCTCTTTGGGATCACCAATATTTGTTAATAGTTCTCTAAATTTAGATGTAGTAAAACGTTAGTAGAAATTGATTTTTCGTTAAGATATTTACTGTTTAGAGCAACTGGCACATTGTGATTGATGAAATTTTGCGTCATTTTAGTGCTAAATATTATCGATGATAATAAAATAAATAACGATGACAGTAAAATAAAAAAACTTTAAATTTAAATTATATATTAATTGTAGTAATTAATAACAGATCTTAAGAATAACTAGGCACGTCTAGGAAGATGAGGAACATTCATAACATTTTATGTTCCTTGGAAGAATGCATTCATAAAGTTATTCCATTGGGGAAAAAGAAGAAGGCTGCTCACTGTTGAGGTTTACTATACCTGTTGTAGCATAACGACTGAAAGACAGCGATAAAAGGTGTTTGGTAAAAATATGCACTCTATCGTCTGACAGACAGAGCTTTTCAGTGAAGTGAAGGCGTGAAATTTGTCGAACTTAAATGGAAGAACTTGACCTTCCTCGAGCGATTTCGTCGTGACCCAAATCAGGTATCTTCTTAAAACGAGAGGAATGCGAACGCCGAATTAAGCGGATATGAACCGAGTCGTCAATGACCCGGAAAGCGGAGGGAGAGAAAAGGAAGCCTAGAAATAACAAGTCTGCTTCCACACCTGTGGAGCTAGAGGTACACACAACGTAAAAAAAAATATATATATATACATAACACATAAAAACAGCTGAGCTCAGTTTGAATCTATGGGTTGATCAATCAGTACTTTAAAAAAGAATGTGGAGAACAATTTTGCTATTGTCGGTAACGTTTCGATCTCATTTCGTTAGCTGAAGTGGGATACATAAAATGCATTCGTTTAGGTCTATTTTTCTGATATATTTCAAATGGCATTTTCCCACGTAGCGGTCGAAATTTGTCATCAAGTACTTTTCCTAAGTTAAAAATTCGAATTAATTTGTAAAAATGGCAGAACTTAGTTATCTACTATTATTAAAATTTGAATAATATAAAAGGAGATTATTAATTCGGAGAAGCTTAAAGGTAATGTTTCATTTTTTAAATGAGTAATTTGGTACAAATTCGAAAACAGCTATTAAAATTTTAAATCGAAAGTATACGATGCAGGTACACAGCAATATTATTTTGTGTAATATGGAATACAATATTTTCAGAACTTTAAATTTACTAAGCGTGCTCTGAGAAACCATAATACAATGATAAACACTGAACTTAAATATCACAAGACAGTAAAATTCAACGAATCAAAGACCGAGTAACGGTCATTTGAGTCATTGCATATAAAATGAAGTAAATTTAAAAAAAAAGCGAAAGCTGAGCAGAAATGCTCAGCCACGAAAGCTATAATCTTATAAAAGAGCTCTTTTAGAAGTTTTAGAATTTTGTAACAATTGTCTTGGTTAAAGATTTTAGTTCATACTTTTTAGTTAAATTTTATATTGCCATTGATAAGTATACATAAATAAAGGTATAAAAAATTTCACAAAAAACATTCTTGTTCTTAATGGGTTATGTTAGGTTACTTATTATTGCAAAGCTTTTGGAAGCTATCAACATTAAGAGTAGCTTTGTGGTGGGGTATTTAAAGTAAACAGATTCTTATTCATGTTGCATATTAGGAATAGACACTAAAAGGCTATGGAGTTAGAGCCTTCAGCTCCCGAAATAGAGACCGAAATCGGATTACCACCTACATCCTAGACCCACAAGGCCACAAGTTTTAAAGGGTCCCAAATCCCTCTGTAATTCCTAATGATCCAATGTGTGTCTGGTAAAAATAGGAAAAATGGATATTGGAAGGAGTTCAAAGAATGATGTCCCTGAGATCGCTGCCTTTGTTAATCGAGCACTGATTGCAGCGTACTCAGTGGTCATATTAACTCAACCTTTAGTGAATACCCCTTATGAAGAAATGATTCCGTTAGCTGTTAGGGAATCTCTTCAAATTCTCTTATTCTTCTTTTCTCCTCTTTAATCTCTTCAAATTAAGAAACAGCTCGTCTTTATGATAAAATCTGCATTTATTCTGTAGTTTTTTAATACGTTTGTGATGTGTGATTTAGCCTGTATTATATAAAAGTTACTAAAATATTCAGGCTCAATTACTGTTACAGTAATCGATTAATTTCAATTACAGCTTTGAAATAGCTGAGATTCATTAATAATGCCCTCTTCAGACATTTAAAAATTTTGAGAAACTTATTGTTAACATGACATTTCTATCAAAGAGGAAAGTCTTAAGGATCAGCGGTTCAACCTTTGGAAGTCTAAATTAATCCGTATAATTTTACTGAAGTAATCGTATAAATTTGTTGACGTGGCGACAAATGATTAAAAGTTTCATTCTCAGAATTCATTACCAATTCTAAAATCAGTTAACTGCATGAATGTAGCAACAATTTTGTTTTTGCACAATGCTCATTATATAAAATATTATTTTTTTCTGCCATAAATGACCTATGTAGATATAATATGCATTCTTTTGTGAAATTCTTGCAGTTTAAATTTGCATTTAAATTCCAGTGTAAGTTTTATTAATAGTGATGGAAATTACTCTATTCTTCAGTTATTTTAGATCTAACAGTAGACGAATGGATAAGATAGCTAAACATTCTTAACTCGACTCAAGTTCGAATTCAGCGAACGGGTTGGCTATATAGATTTTTCATGATTATGGCAATGAAAACGTGGGTATTAACTTGTTTCACTTAAAAAGTCTTCCATGAAGACTCCGTCTCCACACAGACAAAGAGCTTCGAGTGCTTTATCTCATTGGATATTGAATAGTACGAAATATATGTTTGATTTAAAATAAACAGTAATTTTAAGTTGATTAGAACAAATGCTTAGGAGGGAAAGGTAAACAGCATATCTGAAATTCATGAAGTAAAGCGTACTCAAGTATTTTAGAGTTATTTTTCTTTAAAAGCTGACTAACTAATGGTAGGTTAAATTAGGTTAATCAACTGCAGTTAATCATTTAATGTCTGTTTGCCTAGAAAAAAATTATTAGTATTTACATTAAATAAATAAATTAATTAATAAAATTTATTAGTATTTATATACTATCTATGGAAAAGGAAAAAGATTGGTATTTGTATTATCTACGGGGATATTATAACAGTTTCATGCAGATATCTCATTCAGTCCTCGGCGATAGATCCCAGAACGAATTATCAGAAATCCCTGGCTTTATCTACCTACTACTGATGAATCTAACTATATTAGTAGGCCACAACTTATCACGAATGCAAGAAAAGTAGATGTAAGTCGTTTTCTGCAAAATTACCTATGCTTAAATTTACTTGAAAAGAACCCGAATTTCAATGCCTTTTAAGTAAATATACGTCAAGAGTATTGCGAGCAATTGTAATTATAAGTAATAAACGGAAGAGAAATACGCCATTCTGAATGTTCAAGCAAAATATAATTTTTGATTCAAGTTTAAATTTGCGAGTCTTCACGCAGAATGCGGACAGCTTTTCTGTAAAGCTAGCATTACCCTAAGGTGAATTTTGCCTAATAGTAAAATAAATGCGTGAAAAAAAGAAAACAAAAAGAAAATATAAGATAAAGGGGATTTAGATTTCTTTTGAAAGCTTGCTATCTTTGAAGAAACATAAGAGAAGAATGATTTAATTAACATTTTTCATTAATTTAAGTCTTATGATATAAAATACTATCCTTAATGTCTTTTGTTTAAATTTCATGATACACATAAGTAAGTGACTTACTCGTTTCGCAACTTTCAGTTGCTCCACTTTTTATTGAATGTGCTTGTTCTTCCGAATCTATGCAGAAACGATAGCGGAAAGAGCGAAGCGGGGTTGCAGCAATTTTCTCTACCACCTTCAACGTTCGACTGCAGTTGGTCACTCTAATTTTTTCAGCTCTACGGGCGCTCACTAGAAAGACTGCGCAACATCTGACCTTCACTTTTGAAATCAGATAACCGCGGACAAGGATAACTGCAGTTGTGATTAGACTTCTAATTATTGCTCTTTGCTTGTGTAGCAATGGTTCCCCTTCTGCAACCACAAAAACTAAGCTACTTTTCAGAGCCAACTTTGCGTGAAGTCGGATCTCATCCGCGAAGATATATTATTCTTCAGTTCATGCTTTCAATCCATTCTGAGACAGACAAATGTACTGTAGACAAATGTTAATTGAATCACGATGTACTCTGTAAACTTTTCACTGGAAAAGCGTTGAGCTTGGATAACGTAGTTAATGACACACGAATTTCTGAGCTGACACATGAGATCTAAAATTAACACATTTTATTAGAAGCAGGCGTTATTACAAGTTCCTTAGTTTTCGTAACAACACTTTTCTCAGCTTTAATAATGACGCAAATGCATCACGAATTTGCACAGGCAACGCAGTTTAAGTAATCGATCCGCAGAATGACGCCCTTCCGCAGAAAATGTTCAACATTTATATTTCGCTTCGTAAAAAACTGGATATGGAAAGTAGAATATCACCTGCTGATATTTTCCATTAAACGAAGAACGAGGAAGTGACAACATAGTAAATTTTTGCGCAGAGTCTCATCCACATAGCAGGGCGTGCAAAGTTCGTCAAATAAAACAACCTCGGTCACGCGCGTTTATCATAGCCAGAGAGTAGAAAGACATGGTAGTAAAACCTTTAAAAGACAGCTTGGGATAGAGTTATTGACATGTTATACATGAAGAATATAATTATCTATATTTCAGACAGGCAACAATTTTTAGCTTATTTTCAGCATTGACGGAATAATTTTAATGACCTTCTCTATTATTTTAGTTTTTCCCAATTTGAAGGGGAAAAAAAGATATATTTATCGTATGTATCGTATCAGATTTCAGTGAAGTGTTTATGTAAATCTCACATTCTTCATTTAACAAGTATTTTAAGTTACGATAAAATTTTGTTTCGCTTATAAAAGATTTCTTAAACATAACTATAATCTTGTAAATACATGGAATATAATTAATTAGGTAAAAATATTCTATTTTTAATCAGAAAATTGTTCGAAACCTAATTTATTTGATTGATTTTAGTTATTTAGCAATAAATAATATAGACCCTTTAGCTCATTTTTTTTAATATTATTTATTTCCTTTGCTACGCTATCTCTGGGATTGTTGTCATATATGTTAATAAGGAATAAAATGATGATTTTTATTACTATGATGATGAATGCCAGAATGTACACATTTCGTAACCTAACAGAGGCAACCCAGAGGCTGAGTAGGTAAGTCATCTACAAATACGTGTTCCGTCACATTCTGATGCGGGCACTAGACAGATTATTCGTATTAAGCGGGAGGCGAGCATCCAGTCAAAAATCTTCCTAAAGAGGAGGTCTTGTTGCGTTATCAACTTGCAGCAACGCTCATGGATCCCCAATCTACGGTCGTTGGATTTTTAACTCTCTCTTATGTGATTATCACATCTAATGGTGCGAGAGGCAAGAAGTAACTTTTCCGAGAAACGAGCTTAGCAGTCGCCTACTATTGGCTGGTTCCCTAAACGAAACATGTTTCGTTGAAAGCCGTATCCCGTCTAATTACACGGTACTTTTTGGAACTGAAATGAAAATGTTTTGCTTGAAGAGCTGTTCTTTGTGCGATTTCTTCAAAGGCCTGGTTTTCGCAAAGTCAACCGACCAGATATCCCCAAAAACAAAAATTCTGTAAAATGTTTCTTTTGATGCGGAGAATAACTTGTAGATGTGATACCGGCTTTAGAAACTAACGTTACACCAGTTTCCCAGGGTCACCACTTTCCGTGGGCACAGAGACCACGATGGTCATAGAAACAAATTGACTAACATTTTGTCTAGAGAATGCGCTACCTACCCAATAAGATGACTTGCACCACTACCTTTAAGGGCAGCATAAGCTGCCCTTTTTGTCAGTAGAGTTCCAAGTTGCTCTGTAAGCCAAGAATATCAAACATTTGGCTCGATTAAGATGGCGCTCCATGGGGCGTATGACAGTGAATTCTCCTGAAAGTAACTCTCGAAGGAGAGAGGAATTGAGATCACAAATGAGAACACTTACATTGCAGGTATCAGCAATAATAGCATTTCCTCACAAGTTATAGTGCATTAAATAATATATAATCAAGTTACAGGATCATAAGTAAATAGATGAAAATAAACACATTAAATCTTGATTATATGTGCATACTGGCTGTGTCGACTAAAGTCGCGTTCAGTCCAAGAACTGAATAATCTGTGGAGCACTGTGCTAAGTTTATGAAATTGTGAATCAGAGCATTGTTATTACAAACTGTAATTAGCACAAAATGTTTTGGTATACAGCAGAGCTGTAAAAGTAAAAGCGTAGTAATCACCTACACAGTGGGTGACGTCATAGTCCTACTAAAAGTCTATCTATTTTTAGTGAGATACTATAAATTTAATTTACCATCACTCTCTTACATTATACAAAAATCGCATACAGTCCTTTTAGCTATGCACTCCATCGGAAATAAAGTATAATACTAATTATTATGGGGCTGATATCCAGTTGAAGACAAGTCTTTTCCAAATACATCTCTCCTAAAATTTTGCGTAATCTATAAATTAATCGCTTAAAGATAGCCATAAATAAATAGATTTTAGACGAAAAGCCTATAAATTTATATAGATGCCGTAGTAAAAAGGAAAAATATTATTTAAATCATAAATTAAGAAATATCAAAAAGGAAAGCAAGGAATTCTTATTTGCATAACGCATTTGATGATGGTAGACTTTTTATCCAATCGGTTGTAAATTTAACGTAAGATAGCATAAAAATAGAAATACTGAATGTTCTTATATATTGCTATTGTGATTACTATTATCTCACTTTAACAGTAATATGAGAAAAAGTCCATGACTATTATCGTGGCAAGAGCACAGGATTGCATTTGTAGTTGGCATAAGCTTTGGTCACATTTAAGGTGACAGCACGACTTTCGCATCTTATGTTTCAAAGAGACAAGATGTGCAAAGTGTGGACAAATCACAAGAATCATGTTTGCGCACTGAAAAATAAATAAGCTCAAGTGTATTTTTTGCCAAGGCTCTAATGTAAGCAGTATCTGGGGTGTTTTGAAGCTATGAAAACCTGCCAAAACATAGACAATCGGTGCAGCAGACAGAGAAGACTCTCAAAAAGACGATGGAAAATGTCCTTGTACTGACTACAGGAGCAGATGGTATCAACCCTATGAACCAAACTCGTAGACAATACAGTGGTACGATTAAGAAGACTATATGACTATATAGCCATATAATAACAACATATTTGAAATTCACGATGCAACTGTAGGACGAAACCATATAGTACTTCACGAACTGATAATCTCCCTCTTAAAGGAAATCCAAAATTCCTGCTACTTGCCAAAATTCCTGCTGATAAATTGTGCACAAATTATGCATAATGCGATGCATAAATCGCTTTATAATCGAAATAAAGCGCCCGCTCGAAATTCGCACTGCGAATGACGCTTTCCCTCTTCAGTAATAGCTGCTAAAAATTTTCAAGATATTGTGAACTTGTTAAAATCAGGTTTTTTTCTGGGCACCAAAAGGTAATTGAAAAAAAAAAAAAAAAAAGTCAAAATGTATTAACATCAGTAACTTTAATAAGTATATTTTGTAGAACCCTATGAACCCTGTCTTAAGGCAGGTGTTCTCATTTAGTTACAGTCACCCCTGTGGATATAGTATATAAAGGCTGTTTTTTGCTTTTTCAGATTAACTAGCTTTTCGTTTATCCGGTTACACAAAGGTTGGTTAACGTAAAATTTTTTCAAAATTATGTCGTCTTTTGGATGCAAGCAGAGTCGGAAGTTGTGCAGTGGACTGAAATTTAGGAAGACTTAGTGATCTATATCTTAAGACAAAACAATAGTGAAATTGTTTTAAAAGACATGAACGTGTTTATTCCGCTTCAAAAACAGAACGCTTCTTAAAGCTATCTTCGGAGGCCCCATGTCGGACGTTTTGCGAAATGTGTAACCTTCCATGAGGACAATAAGTCAAGGGCAAATGAAGAATTGCAAACAGTATCATTTGTATTGACTGTTTACGATAACAACTTCGAAAACGTTAAATACAGGTTAGGTGTCTTGTTTTCTTGATTATTTGTTTCACCTTCTATGGCAATTTGGAGGACGCACCTATGAAACAAGTAAATCTGGTTTGCTATGAATTCAATATTAAACCGGCAGAGGTCAAAGTTAAATTTCTTTCTTTCTGTGCGTGACTGAAAGCGAAAAGTTTCCAGAAAAAATTCGAGGAAAAGAAGACTAAGCATACTTTTTATTGCAACTGTTTACTTAAAATTGATCAATCTGCATAAAGACCTTTTTAAAGGTCCTAAGCACTTAAAGATTCTGGTGCCCTCACATAGATTTGCGCTAATTTTTAACCCATTCTGTTGATCTTGGTTTAGCTTCACCGTACTTTCCATGTTAGAACAGGAAATGAAAAATTTTTGCGAAGCCTCCTTTCTTGAGCTTCTAAGCACTTTTTTTTTTTTTTTTTTTCCGGTGCCCCTTTCTTTGATTCCCTAAGCCCATGCTTATTTTGTTTAGTGATTAATCCTGCTCTATGTTATGAGTTGTATATGTCTACGAGTTGTATATTAATAGAATCTACCATACAAAATATTGTGGTTATTGTATGCGCTCAGCATAATTCGGTTACAAATGCTTTTTAAGAAAATGTTTCGACTAAATATCCGATCGTTGGCAAAAACTTGCAATAATATCCACCAGACTAGTGAAAAAAACTACAGTCTAAAATCATAAATATAGCCTTTTTCTGTGGTACAGGATTCACTCGTCGGTGGTAGTGTGCGCAATATTGTTACTATTTTTCAACCTTTCCTCCTATCCAATATAATCCAAGATGATAAGGGAGCAAATGACTTGGTTAAGTGACCTGAATACGATAAAGTTCACGAGGGCTAATCTGTCTAAGGGGAGCGATACCTTCATGAAATACAGGGTGACCCAAAAGTGCGTTCACATTTGAAAATTCTTCAATTCATTAAATAATGTAGGTATAGAAGAAAAAATTACACATACGCTTGAAATGTAATGAG